TTCATGGGCATATAAAGTCAAAGGTCCATTGACTGATATAGGTTTGAATGAGATCAATCATGGTCCATTTTGGGGAAAGATTGTTAGTTTTTTTTTAGCCTGCCATCGAATCCTTTTAATATTTTATCTGTAAATATTTGATACAAATGAGATTATTAGTGTTGAGGGAGTCCTGGTTGCTGGATCAATCATATCATAAAATGACACCATATCTTTCCAGGTAAATAGGTCGGGCACATAAAATATATACAGTAGAAATTTTATAAGAATATTAAAGCTGGGTGGTAGTAAAGAAAGTATTATGTGCACTGCACTGTTCCTGCTTGCAGGACCAAATATTGTTTTATCTACGTAATAAAATTGCTAAGATATAATACAGTATTTGTTTTTCATTCAGCAGATTAAGTATCCAATGAGCCTGGGTTGGTCCACTCAGTGAGTCATGTTTAACGATTTGACATACTTGTTTGTAAGTTCAAAAACTGTGTCCCTCCATCTCATTTCTATTTCAGTAAAAAATGGAATAGTTGGCAATATCAGTCAGACTAAAGTAGGCCACTGTAACTGCAAGTTATCAATGTATGAAAATGAAATAAACAGAAAACCAGAAATGAGTTCTTATAATCATGCATTAATGTTACATGGAAACGAATAGTACTTAGAACATGTACAAAGCCGGTATAACGTTACATTCAAATATTTGACTGTTACATTGTTACGACTGACCCGGAGTAAACGGAATGGCACCATATATATGTGTGGTTAAAAAAGTATGAGCTTCAATGTTGTTTTAAATGCATCCACATAATGTCAAAAATATGGATAGTGCATCTGAGTCCTTGAGCTCTTCATGTGACAGTTGATATGTATTGACTAGTAGTCGACTATCGAATCAGAAATGATTGACACGCATGTAAATATAAATACAGAAACTTTGACAACGTATAGGGAGGGTGGTAAACAAAACCGATCTGTTATCCTGTTTGAAAAAAGAAGACAAAATTTAAAGGTCTCGTGTTGAATCTAAATAGGGCTATCGAGGTCATAAGATAAAATTTCACATTGCTGAGATCCAACAGACGATGCAAACAGGCTGTGTATTTGGATAAAAAGCAAGAGTATACAGGGGAAATGTCAATATTTAACAGAATAATGAACATAAATGACTACATAGGTCTTGCTATAAAGCATATATGTTGTGGTTATTAGTCTTAGTGGCCACAAATAACCGATATTTACTATTTTACCTTGCTGGTGATCAGTATCCGAGTGAATGAGCTCCGCCATTACTCGCTCGATGACGTCACCAGACTTGCGCACGGTAACTCATCCGCTGGCAGACGTGTATTCGAGAACTATTGACTCTAAACCTAAAAGAAGAATTTGTTAGGATAGCTTGTAGATGGCACACTTTCTTTTTAGGATTAAGCTCAGCATTACTCACATGTTTACACAAGGAAAAAAACACGTCTCTGTACATTTAGATGATCAAAGTGTGCAATAGATTGTCTACTGTAGCTACCGAAAAAGAGCACCTGTCATTGATTTCTGATATACATAATCAAGGCCTGAAAGGCATTTCAGATGTACCTACCAGTTTTTTCCCCTTGTTTTGTTTGTTTGTGCGTTTTTTTATTTGCGTTGTTTCAAATAATTAACTTACCGTACAGCATTATAGGACATTTGTGAGAACATGTAGTCTGGAGAACATCTTGGAATAATTTGATCAGGGTTTGGAAACACAATAAACCATGTATATATATATATATATTTCTGTCTATATCGTTTTTAAATGTGTGATATCAACAGTAAATGGAAAAGACAGATGATAATATGATAGACCAGGCGGTAATTATTTTTTTATAAGAACTTCAAAACAGTACTTAGCGTAGACATAAGTCAGGGACGCACAACGATATAAATGTGATTCAGCGAGTATATATTCGATATACTAGGAACTTACATGTATATGGTACTATTTTGGGGACTATCACGTGAATCACAGGAGAGTTCGCATCTGAAATCATAATCAACCTTTATGGACTTAGTACAAATAAGATCTTCGTTACCAGGTGATGCGTACACCTGGTGCACACGAGGGACGTCTGTTAAAGGTGAAACGCGTGATATTGCACGTCCACATCTGTGTTAGGATTAAAACTGTTCCTTGGATGTCTTTTTCACATTATTAAGAGGTTCTCAGAAAAAAACTCTGTTCATCGATATGGAAAGGTACTATTTTTGTGTATTATCATTATTTTAAATATATATTTCTTTCCGTTGCAAAAACTGACACGCTGGACTTAATTTCCCCCCTTACATTTTAACTTCTAAGATTACTAATCCCAACAAACAATGGCAGGATCCAATGAGTACAATTGATTTTATTTAAGTCGTTTTAGTTTTTCATATTTGTTTTTATTTATTTTACCCAAATTTTCATATCTTCTCTTATTAAAACGTTTTCATTGTTCTTCTAACATTCTTCGAATGTTAAACATCATTTGCGCTCAAACATTATAACATGCTTAAAAGTGTACAACACTCAAAACAAAATAAGATAGCAAAACGAATCCAGATACATCACATAACTTTCCGGTACGTGACACTAGTCTCGTGATAGGCTAACCCATAGAGAACAAGCCTGATAGAGTTATCGCCCTTATAGTGGCATTTACTCTTCACCAAAATCGACAACCTCTGCAATCTAAAAAGACATGTTATTATATTTTAAGGTTCTTTGACATAAACTCGAATAATATAGTAGTTCTATAATTTTGATACTTCAGTACTTAAGTAATACAACATCTGCACAATACCATCTGAAGAACGGAAATTACATAAACTTTGTAATATTATCAGAGGACGTGGTGAATGACAAATCCGAGCCTCTCTGGAAGTACATGAAGTCCAAGAGATAAGAAAACGTTTGAGAAGCACCACTGAAAGACAATGGACAGCTTATTAAAAACAGGTAAACTAAGACACACATCATCATTGAACCATTCTTATCGTCATACACTAGAGGACCAGTAAAATCCCCCGAACACAACATACAGTAAAGGCTAACATCCTACACATGAAAATCACGCAGTATGGAGTAGCCAAACTGAATAAAATAAAACTAAACCCCACAAAATTAGAACTCTCAAACAGTGTGCTGACTATCTAGTACCGGCTCTTACAGTTATATTCCAACGAGCCACTAGACGATGGCAGCCTGTCGCTGACAAATATATGATACTTATTCAAGAAAGGAGACAGTCACGCAGCAGAGAACTGACGACCGGTATCCCTAACACCAGTACCGCGCAAGCTGCTAGTATACAGTTACCTAATGGAACGTCTGCAAAATCCAAAAATATTGACAAATTTGACCATAGTTTCAGTTGGAAACACAATTCGTTGTCACCACCAACGATTTACTGCAATCACTTGTCACTAATGTTGACACCATTATGCTGGATTTCTCAAATGCTCCGACACTGTCCCCAACGACGAACTTATCTACAAAATAGAAAAAAAAAATACGGGATTACAGGACAAACCCAAGAATTGCTTAGTACTCGGAAGTTCCTTTCAGGGAACAGTCCTAGGTCATATAGTCTTTCTGTGTCACGTAAATGACCTTCCAGAAGCGACTAAGTTCTCTCAGTTTGGTTTTTTGCAGACGACTATATAGAGAGATAGATAACGAACGAGATCGCACAGCACTTGAAACAAATCATGATGATTTGAAGAATCTAGTAACATGGGCAGAAACGACCATGAATCCATGATCTAGGTCTCCAAAATCTCGGAAGATCTAAAATGGAAGGAACACATTAACAACACATATAAAATAGCGGGAATTGCATTTAGATGCTTATGAAGACACATCCATCACTGTCTCAGAGAATACAACTCAGCATATGTAGTTCTTGTTAAAACAATAATGAAATACGGAGCACAACATTCAAAGACGACGTGCAAGATTCTTAACATACTTATCCAAATTAGGAAGGAAGCATGACAAGGGGGTTACACGAACTGTACCTTCAATTACTTTCAAACAAAAAGTTAGCACCGTCGTCTTATATTCTTCTGTAAATGTATACCAACCAAGGCAAGCACATACGAAGACTGAAACATCCCACATACGGTTACGTCATTAGTAAGAAACAATGGTAAATCGGTAGTTATTCCACCAGGCAAAACCGAGCATTTTTTCCCGTTGTCATCGACTGGAACCGGAAGGCCGTATTGTTACAAGCCCGCCAGGGCTGTGATGTACCACGACTAAGGCGCTCTTCCTCCGTCATGGGGATACTTATATAAAAATAATTCAATTTTACTTCTAAACTCGTCATGGAGATACTTATATAAAAATTATTCAATTTTACTTCTAAACTCAAAGGATTCACTCTCGATATCATCTTGTGGGATTTTGATGTCAATGCTAGGCTTGATAAAATAATGACATGGTAATTGTGCTATTTTATTGGTTTTAATCAATAATAAGCTATTTTGAGTCGATATTATCATTATTAGACATGGAGTCAGTTTCCCCATGATTTCGACAATTACGTTTTAACTTTCTAGGCAGCGGTATATCCATATTAGTTGAATCTTTCACCAGATGTACTTCTATATGACGGTTTTTCATAGTGTGTAGTGATCATACAAATTGTTGACGAATCTATTTTTTTAATACCTGGACTGACGTGTGATACTTACAAGTGATGTGAATTTGCTATTTATCATTTCACAAAAAATACATTTTCAAATACGTTTAATCAGGCCTCAACTTGTGTCCAGTTTGTCTTGGACAACATGTAAAATAATTACATTTATTATGTCAAACGAAAGGAAATCTGTTTCGATATATATTTGAAAAGAACATTTTAACAAGTCAATTTATCAGGGACGTAATAAATAAGATGAAAGGAGTTATTTCCCCTGATTGATTAATATCGTCCAATCAAAACGCACTATTTGCTGTACTGCCAATATTTGGAAAAGAACTCATGAACTAAGACCCATCAGGTAAGAAAAAATCTTCGTACCTCTTAATAAGCGAACTTTATAGGTCGTGATTAGATTCAATGTCAGTGACAATAATGTGATATACAGTATATTTGTATGCAGGCATGTTTTATAAACACGATGTCGACGGAACGGCAAAAAGTGAAACAAAATCCGAAAAGGAGGGATAGGGGGTTCTTGGATGGTTTAAAGGAATATTATCTGCATCTTTCCTTTACTTTTGCTCTACTGATGGTCAGTTTGTCTGACATAGCACATTCTTTTACTTAGCATGCTTATGATATGACATTGAAACAATCAGTTAAAATGGTAAGCTAAAAATCACATCATGAAGTCATTTTTAATTTTAGAACAGGTTTGCATAGATAGGTATGTTGCTCATTACTAAGTAAAGAACTCGGATTACAAATGGAATTACCTGTTGACCAGTTGGCGGATAGGCAGTCATTACTTATATCGTGTGTCTGCAGAATGGTATATGAACTGAATGGTATATAATTCAGGGCTCTCACACCCAATTTTGGGACTGGGGCCCGGGGCCCTTCGAATTGGAAAAAATAATGGTGTTTTCCTTAGAATTGGGAAAACTTGGGGTCTAAATTGGGAAAAAAGACACTATTTTGCATTGGGAATATTAGGCCCCAAATCTGGCAGATCGAGAATTAGAACAGTATGCCTCAATGATATCACTGTCTATGTTGCAAAATGGGTAAAATAATCCATACATCAGAAATGTTGAAAATGATGATCATGAGTTGCCATGCAGTCGCCAGTACTGACTCAATAACTGGTTAATTAGATGGAGTGGAAGAGATTTTCAGTCAACTTCTATCTGACAAGCTGTTGTGCTTTTTGCATGAAAACTTCAGTCCTGAATAGAAGGGCTCATGTTGTCATGCAATCTATTAGATTTTAACTATCCCAGTTGGGAAAACTATACTTAAGACTTCAAGGATTTTTTGTTCGTTGAAAGGGCTGTACTGGTGGATGAAAATCTAGTTACAGAAATAAATTTGAGGATTTGAATTGGTCGGGGATGTGGGGTTCTCTAGTTGTGATTAGATATTCCACTTTGAAAATATTCATCACATCAAGGACAGTCACAGATCACCTGTAGTTGGTTATAATTATCCTTGGCTGATATATGCAAATTACAGAATTATGTATGATAAAGTGAGACATATCATACAGTATCCATGTAAGGAGCAAATCAAAACCGATAGATATACAGGTTTCACCCTGTTGTATGTTAGTAATAGCCCAACTATATTGTATTGGTGTCGCACTGTTCTATGTTAAAATTCTGATTTTTTTTTTGAAGGATGAGTGTCAAGTTATCAGAAATGTATGAATATATGAAAATGGGGCGAGAGAATGCCCTGCTGGGGAATTATGACACATCCTTAGTATACTATCAGGGCCTCCAGCAACAGATTCAACGCCTCATAGCCAACGTCAAGGATCCAGAAAGAAAGAGGAAGTGGATAGAGGTCGGTCGCTTTGGATTCAGGATAATCTTTCATTCAGGCATAAATTGCTATGACTATTACCAATATATATCAAATGAAAGTCATGTATTACTGTGACATCAGTACATTAAGAATAAGATTTTAGAATAAAATCTAGAAATAGATATAGGCCTGGACCCTGAATTGAATTTTGTTGTAACGGAGCCGTAAACTTGGTAACTTTTTTATTCAATTATTATTTCTTAGGCAGTTGGGGTGGGTTGGTAGAGGAAAAAAATCCCAAAATAACATTGTATAATTGTTTGCCTCTCACAAAGTTATAACATCTGCTTGTGACAGCCTAGATTTATAATTATCATTGAAAAGAACATGATCCAAAACTTTCTATTTTATTCTTATGACTTCTATCATGGTACTGATGTATATGCTAAATATCAGTTGAAGCAATGTTTCATATTATATAAAGAAAGTCTTGTGATTTTTAGGCAAGGGAAATGATAAATCAAGAATACGAACAAGTCAAAGAAATCAGCCAGACTCTTGCTAGTTTCTTGACGGACAAACCACGGGCTTTCAATGCACACGTTGAAGATTTTGGCAGTCCTTTTGGTGACAATGCTCGACATGAAGAACCTACACGAGACCCAGATGTATGGCCTCCACCAACACCTGTAGAACATAGGTATGACATGTCAGCTACAAGAGGTTTTTACAATAAAATATCTCTAAAAACATTCAAATTCCACCCCAAGTGCTCTTTGTACCAAAAATCTTTGTATTTTTTATTGTCTTTGTTTTTTGTGAAACTAGTTTGAACACAGATAAATCAAAGCAATTTATCTGAAACCTTTCAGCAGCAGAATATTTAGCAGTTTTATCATAACTTAGAAATTCTTTTGGACTCTGAAGGCAGCTTTGTTGATTTGTATTTTAAGTAAAGTCATGTGAGTTTTAATTGACTGATATTATTTTTAATGATATGAGTCAGTATTTGAGTGTGAAGTTGAGGGTGGAATTGAGATAAATGAAGTTAATCACATGATGTTTATCGTTCATAGACCTTCACCTAATTTACGCGGGGGAGTAAGACCAGGTCCAAGAAAAGCAGAACCAGTAAGAAGTCGAAATCAACCAGCCCCAAGTAAGCCTGGGGCTGCAGGTGGAGACAGAAGGAGAGCTGCACCAGGATACGGCAATGTGGATCGAGGAAGAGAAAGACCATCAGAAAAAGGAAAAGAAAAGAAAAAAGTAAGAAAATAGAATGACAGTGTCATTGTTTCTGTTAGAAGTAAGCTCTATGGTCTGTGGCCTTACTGCTCCTATGGAAATTCAAATTATTATAAAATACATCTTGTTTCAAACTTAAAATTGTTCTTTTACTTACGCTACCAGCAGAATAGGTCATATATCTCTGAGGTCTGTATCAACTGACCCTTGCAATTTTTGTATTTGATTGACATTCAGAAGGATGTATAGGAAATATGAATTAATTTGATAGCTATTTATTAAGTTCATGAATTGTCTTTGACCTGTATAGTTTTTTGGAATATTTTATGCATTACTAGGCTTTCACAGGAAGCTATTTATTTTTATTTAATTGATGAAATATTTTGAGTAAACTGAGTAAAAATAATGGTTTTAATAGGCAGGCTTTATGGAGACTGTGATATCTAGTGACTCTTGTATTACTCTTGATGTTGTCTTTCAGCCTGACGATGGAGAAAAGAAGTTTGATGGGATGGGTTATGATAAAGACTTGGTGGAAGGACTTGAAAGGGACATTGTACAAAAGAACCCAAACATCCGATGGTTAGTTCTTTCTTAGCTGATTTGTATAGGGTTCTAATTCAGTCAATTTCTAAACTGTCATGGTGGTTTATTTTAAAGGATAAGTTTTGAAACAGAATGAAAATTCACAGGATATCTTTTTTTTCTTAGAAATCATTTTATATCTTCGGGAGGATGTAATGTTTTTGTATAACTACAGTTATGGTTAAAATTGTAGTCACTTTCTGATTACACTGAATATCAATAATATTTCACGTGCAGGGATCAGGTAGCAGATTTAGTTGAGGCCAAAAAACTACTACAGGAGGCAGTTGTGCTACCTCTCATCATTCCTGACTTCTTCAAAGGCATTCGCAGACCTTGGAGGGTAAGCACAGCAAAAGCTGGAATAAAACCTGCATTAATTAATGTGCTCAAGTTAATGTCAAATTTTAAAAAGAATTTTTATCAATTTTATAATTGTCTGATCTATGAGATCGTAAATCTGAGTTTTTGATGCATTATTTTTCTGTAAAATCATGTTTAACACCTGGAATCATTTCTAATCATAGAAGAGTAACCACTTGATGAACAAACATTATAAATTTGATATTGTTTAATTTACTATATATTGTGATCATATGAAATTTGAACTTTTCTGATGAAGTCTGTATATCCTACATATGTTTTATGCTATTATGTATTTATAACATGTAATAACATTATATGTTTACAGGGATATAATATGGAAATGTTACATATTTTATCATACCATGTTAAGATACCAAATTTCTTTCTTTTTTATCAATATTAATAGTTGTAGATCAAATTCTCTATGATTGTAAATGCTGAATTACATCAATATTTCAAGGAAAAATATATCCTGACTCATATCTGAAACAGATTTTAAGAAGAATTTTCCTGTCCATTAGACTTCCTGTACTAGGTACTAGAAACCATACAATTAATGTTTCAAATATGGTTCTATATTAAACTTTTCTCTTCGTTACATTTTATAACATGTTTTAAGTTGCAATCTTTTTAATTATTTGACAGTAATGAATAAAACTTTCACAGTAAGTGCCAACAAAATTTTCTATTATTGCATACAGAACACGAAAAGCTGTACACCAGGAATATATTGATCTACTTAACCTTAAAATTTGAGTTTCTAAAGATTGAAATTCTGTGTTCCGACGATGTTTAACTCCACATAGCTGGGGTCATGATGAGATATTGTAAAAGACTTTCTGGCTGAGTTTTGCATTTTGAGAATTTTAGCATAATGCCAATAGTTTCTGTAGAAAAGATAAAAATTGTGGTTTTTTTGTTCAAGCTCTGCTTCTGTTGAAACATGGGCACTTGTTCTTGCTGTTTATTAGGAGAATATGTATAGGGGTCCACTTACAGCTCAGTGAATCTCAAGGCTTTCAGTTTTTTTATAGAAATTATTGTAATTGTTATAATTTTCAATGTAAAATGTCAATAACAGTAAATATGTGTAGAATATTTCCTGGTGTACAGTATGTCACTAATTTTCTCCTCAGGGTGTTTTAATGGTTGGTCCCCCGGGAACGGGAAAGACCATGCTGGCCAAGGCTGTTGCAACCGAGTGTGGCACAACCTTCTTTAATGTGTCCTCTGCCACCCTTACCTCAAAATACAGGGGCGAATCAGAGAAGTTAGTCAAGCTTCTCTTCGAGATGGTAAGGCTATGTTGTCAGTGTTACAGTTCAGCTAATCAGGGGGTCCATCTGTGTACTGGTGCTGCAACTCGCCTGGTAGACTTAATATGTATGTTAAAATCTGCCAAGAGTTGCTTGCCATTTGTTTTTTCCGTTATTAGGGGGTGCTGATGGTTGGTCCTCCCGGGACAGGCAAGACCATGCTAGCTAAAGCAGTGGCCACGGAATGTGGGACTACTTTCTTTAATGTATCATCTGCTACTCTCTCCTCCAAGTACCACGGAGAAAGTGAAAAATTAGTCCGTCTTCTTTTTGAAATGGTATGTGGGAACATTTCCTGAAGGGTTTGGCAGTAATGTGGAAGAAGTCATGACAGTTCAAATCAAACACTCTTGCTTTTAAAAGGCCTAATCTTGTACTGAAAGTACACTTGTTAGAATTCATTACCACAGACGTCTGACAAACACATGCAAGGAAATTATTTTACTCTAAGCTGATTTTTAACTGGTAATACAATGTAAAATCCTTAAGAGAACTCTTTTGAAATTTGGGAATCTTCTATGTGGAATTTCACAACCAGGAAGTGACATAATACCATAGAAAAATCTTTTGTTTAAAGGTTATAAGGAATATATTGACTCTAAAAGAGTGAAAAAATAAGAAAACAAACCCAAGAAAAAATAATGCTTCCAGTTCATGATGTGGAAATTCACAAACAAGTGTAATATGTGTTCCAGCTTAATATAATACACTTGAGTAATATTTCTAGTTTATCTATAATAGCACTGTATGATTGTATACTGTGTAAACCAATCCTGTTGTTAACTTCCATGCTAAAATGCCAGATATATAATGAAGCACTGTGTGTTACAAAATGGATAAAAAAAACTGGATACATGGATACCAGTTCACAAAAAATGAGGATAATAATTCACACGTTTCTAACATGGCTTCTTTTGAAACATTTCTCTTACCCTCCCACAATATCTTATTTCTTTCTCTTTCTTCACCATCTTTATGTATTTACTCTATAATGTATGGTAATTGAACAGAATCTGATTTTTGTGGGAAGTTGATATGTATAATTGGTTTTTTGTATCCTTTTTAACTCTTCATGTTTTGATTCGGCTATGTGACTTACACATAACAACAAGATCATTCTGTAAATAGTTGTTGAATTGGCGCTGGTCTAAACATCTTGGGAATGAAATTTTTCAAATGTCTGTTCCTACCTCACTGTTTGATGGTACTGAGGTAAATGTTTCATATCTGATTGTGTGTCTGTTTTCAAAGGTCAGCTGCCAGGTCAGGGATGTGACGACGTAAATAGTGTTATTTCTCAAAACTTAACTTTGCATTATGCAGAATCCTAAGCATACCAGATATTCATGCTGTGTTATGGTGTTTTAGGAAAAATCGGTCCTAATGAGGGGAAATTTTGTGTTATTTTTCTAACATAGTCTGTGAGTTCTGTATTAACTTTACTTGTATGTATATGCAACTTACATTTTGTATATATTCATTTATTTGTTTATGGATGTGCTGTATAGACACAATTGTGATAAAAGAATCCTTGATAAATAGTGTATATCAATATATTTATGTTGCAATCAACATATACAAGTTAATTAGACGTAATATTGAAAGTTAAAATGAAATATCTAATTATAGAACAATAAATCACCCAATTAAGTGTATTAATGTATTGTTTAATGAAAAAGGAAAGAAAAGGTATGAAATATTTCTTTTGTAAGTAAATCTTCTGACAATAATGTACAGAATGAATCATATGATCATTAGTACTTCTTTTACAGGCCCGATTTTATGCACCTAGCACAATATTCATAGATGAAATCGATTCTATATGCTCCAAGCGAGGGTCTGACTCGGAACATGAGGCCAGTCGGCGAGTGAAAGCAGAATTACTAGTTCAGATGGATGGTATGTTGTCTTTTTATTTCATGGACTTCAGCATCCAGCACTTAGCCTTAGCCAGGTGTTTCAGTATATCATTGCCTTGTAATTTAAACATTGAACATTCATGTGAATAATGATTTAGAATTTCTGATAGCATGCAAGTAAAAAAAAAAAAATTACAAAACAGTCAAGGGAACCACAGACAAATGATTGTAAAATGGCATCTCATGATACTGTGATTGACAGTGCAGAAACAAAAATGTTCAGATGTTAATTTAGAGACAGCTCTCTGACAACAGATTGTTATTGACATGCAGAAACAAAAATGTTCAGATGTTGATTTAGAGACAGCTCTCTGACAACGGATTGTTATTGACATGCAGAAACAAAAATGTTCAGATGTTAATTTAGAGACAGCTCTCTGACAACGGATTGTGATTATCTGTCCAGTTCCAAACATGGTATACTTCAGTATTAGAATAATAGGAAAGTTGACGTTGATGCACAAATTCCTTAGTCAAACACCTGTTGCTAGTTATCTTATTTCAGATGTTATCAGAATTTTCAATATTTTATGAAAAGGTAATAGAATTTTCCATTAGAATATGAGCTACTCCACATAATGAATAATTCTATATGCCTGAATGAGATGGAAAATCTGGCATGTTAGTTATATAAGTTTTCAAATTTCCTTTATGGTCTCTATATTGAATATGACTTGTACAGGTGTGGCAGGGACAGGTGAGGATGAGGGAGAGCCAAAAATTGTTATGGTGCTAGCAGCTACTAACTTTCCTTGGGATCTTGACGAGGCACTGAGGAGGAGACTGGAAAAGAGGATATACATACCCCTACCTACAGGTAAAAATATCAAATCCTACAGCAAGGGCTGTATTGTTTGCTTGTGTTTGTACTGAAACCTTACATCTGCATGTGAATAGATTACTTTGTAGTCAAACACAATGGCTATTGTTTGTCAAAACAAGAAAAATTTCCATTTAGAGAAATTAAAAAAAAGCATCCTGCTATGTGTGTGTTGAGGTTCATCTTAATAAGTAGTAAACAACTTAAAGATAAGACAAAAACATCAACCCTTGAAGTCAGGTAGTCCAACTGCTATAGGTTCTGTATTCAATGTTTCTTCTGTGTAAGTTCAGGAATGACAAATTTTATCATAAACATAGGATTCATAATCCCTGTTTGTAAATGTTAGTGGTTTTTATCTGTAAAGACTGACATTGACTTTACAGCTGAAGGTCGCGAGGAGCTGTTGAAGATTAACTTACGAGAAGTAGAGCTGGCCAGAGATGTGAATCTGACCTCTGTTGCACAAGAGTTGGATGGGTACTCTGGAGCTGACATCACCAATGTCTGCAGGTAACATGTTTATAAAGCACTGTTTTATTTGATGGTTTATTACACAATAATTCATCACTTATTTTCATATGTAAAGAAAAGTGCTTAAAACTTTGTATCAATGATTTCCTAATTTAGCTGGATCTTTTCAGAATTCATTCATGTAACATCAAAAAAGGTAGCTGGAGTGTTTTGAAAAATATGAATTACCACCTGACACATATTCTAAACAAATTTAAATAAGTTGTTGTGTTTTTGTTTGATTTGTTTTAGGCTACATATCAATAATTTTGGAAAATCAGAAATGACTATCATTAAAAGAAAAAAAATCTAGATATGACTTTATCTGTATGAATTTACCGATGTGATGTTACAGAGATGCAGCAATGATGTCATTTCGACGTCGAATCATAGGCCTGACCCCTGAGCAGGTGCGCAACATTCCCAAAGAGGAACTACAGATGCCCCCCACAATGGAGGATTTCAAGGAGGCAATAAAGAAAGTCAACAAGAGTGTTTCACAAGCTGATCTTGAAAAATATCAAAACTGGATGAAAGAATTTGGCTCAGTCTAAACAATATACTTTGACAGTGCTTGTGCTCATGTGATTTTGTTTATGAAAATCCAAATCTTTTTGAAAGGACTTTCCAGGGCTTAATAGTCAAAGTCAAAGTTTGGTGAAGAAATGCATTTTGCTTCTTTTCCTGACATTTTGTGTTTGTTAAAATTCTTGACTTCAAAGTGTCAGATGTAAACTGTATGTAGTAAAAATGCAGGACTTCTCAACTATAAGGGAAATATTGAAAGCAAATTTATGGAAGTGTCTTGTTTACAATGAACTATGACTCTGTGATACCAGTCAGACGTGTAAAATATACATGAAAGTACAGGGAGATTTATGCATTGTGAAGAATTTGAATCATTTCATTTGAGATTCTTTTGCCACAAGTTTTTTTTTTTTGTTATTACCTGACCTTTGTCGGCCTCAATGTTTTTTTTACAATCCTCCTGGCGATTTTTTATTTAATGAAATGAAGTGATAAATGAGTCATGTAAATTTATGTGGGCACGAATATTGATGACTGCAAAATCACTGGAGTTGCAAAGGAATTCCATGATTTTGAGAATTCACAAAGATCATTTCAGAATGTTCAATAGACTGAAATGTGTTCACCATCATAAAGAGAAAAAGTAATTTGATCAGGAAAATATTTTTTGCCGATTTAATAAAAATGAATTGAAAAGTTGTGTGTCACAGTCCAAACAAGGAGGGCAAGACAGTTTTACATAATTTATTTCATGCTCTTGAAATACTTGCATTAATGTGTTGTGAAGTAAGCTTTTTTTCTCGTTACGAAAGAATCTCTTTATTAATACAAAACTAACTTTTAAGATTACTTGCTCAAGGAATTTTCGAAGCATCAAGGGATAAGTCATTATATCCTCGTTCAAGTTCGACAGGTTAAAATGTAAACTGCCAATAATTTTGGATAGACCCTAAAAAGGAGGAATTTTTGAATGTTTAGTAGTCATTTTCTGCACTAAAATGGAAGAAGACAGTTATTTAGCAAATTGTCAATTTAATCTTCAGGTTCTTCTGTTACTGAATATGTACATTTTTTTTAAGTCCTGTAACCAATGGGTATTTTGTCTTTCCGATGATACTCTTTTTGCCCATCAGCATTGGTTTCAGATCTGTGTAATTTACCTTTTTTTTTTTGACACGTCTCTCTATGCATACTCTATTTATACATAAATTCTTACCATTTCAATTATTATGTATTTACATTGATCATATTACTCTCATAAAATGGTGATATCGTCTCTTGCATTGGCGTTTGTTAATTGTTGAAATATGGAAGAGTGGTTTTGTATAACAAGTGTTGGATCTAGTCTCTACCACTTGGCTTACAGAGCTTGCTTCCTTGGTTCAGATGGGTAGAGCCATAGATTACCATGCTGCAGACATGGAAAATATGTACATCAGAGTTGCTGCTGTAAGGAATGTGTTTTCCCCCCCATTCATGTCAAAAAGTTCCAGAATGATATGAAAAAGTTGATATGAAACTTTCATCATTAATTATCTTGAATTCTCATTGATTTTCCCAAATACATGTAAACTGGTGTATTGAAAGTGCTTCACCCTGGCGCTAGAAAGTCAGATTCAATTCTAGACCTATGCAATTAATGTTGTGTACAATGACATATCTGGTGTACATATGTAACATCAAAGAATGTCAGCACTCTAGTGGCTTCATTCATAATGTGATTTTTTAATCTCAAACACTTTCAGATGACCATGATATCTTGGACAAATTTTAGTTTCAAGGTTGTTGGATAAAGGTCACTGTTACTAGTTTTAGAAAATCATTGTCAGTGCTCAAGTTGCTTCATTCCTTGAGTGATTCAAACATTTATAAAACGTAATAGCTTTTGGTAAGGGATATGTATTGCTTTAGCAATACTCTGTAAGCTTATTTTGCTTTTTATCCATTTGAAGTTGTAGACAAATCTTTGAATACATGCATATGTGAAGAACAACAAATGCCAATATAATTGGTATTTTATCTCCTTATGTATATATACCATAAATGTTCTCTTTTTAAATACCAGAAAGATTTGGATCTGGAAATGTTGATCACCATTGAATGCCTCACACTACTAAGAAGCATATTTGCTTCCATTCTAGTGTATCAGTCAGATGAAATAGCCATATAATACTGGTAGTGTCAGGGCTCTGATAGCTCAGTCCGTAATACATTGGACAAAACGACCACAGGTCTGTTTCCAAAGTTTGTGGTCAATACCTTAGACAATCTGTTCCTTAGGGAGCTCAAGATCATAATGATTGTGTCCTTCAGCAAGACACCTCAATAACATGCAATGGGCCAACAGCAAGATGTTCAATGTGTTACCCACCAGCTACTTCAAATGACCCTGGGAACTGCCAGAGCTGTAAACAGTGCTCTACAGCCATCCTTAAGGATAATCAAAGGTTACAGGAGTGAAATGGGAACAAAAACGATTTACTGGTTTTTAAAACAAAGCAACATCTTTATTTGAAGTAAATAGAAAACAAACAAGGAACATGATACGTTGTGCGATGCATAAATAGGCCAAGAATACATTCAATGTATATTGGCTAATAATCCTTTAAACAGCCTCCAGACAGATTAAAATGATCAAAACACATTAGGCATAAAAATACAAAAAATTTCCGTAACCGTATCACTCTGTGATAACCACACATGCACCAGAAAATTGGCAATATCAAGGCAAATTATAAAGTAATGAAGCATTAAGAACACACACACTCCCATCAAAAAGTATCAATGCAGCTTCTGGAAATCACGCACTCCCATCAAAAAGTATCTATGCAGCTTCTGGAAATCACGCACTCCCATCAAAAAGTATCAATGCAGCTTCTGGAAATCACGCACACTCGCATCAAAAAGTATCAATGCAGCTTCTGGAAATCACACACACTCCCATCAAAAAGTATCAATGCAGATTCTGGAAATCACACACACTCCCATCAAAAAGTATCAATGCAGCTTCTGGAAATCACACGCACTCCCATCAAAAAGTATCTATGCAGCCTCAGGAAAGCACACGCACACGCATCAAAAAGTATCAATGCAGCTTCTGGAAATCACACACACTCCCATCAAAAAGTATCAATGCAGCTTCTGGAAATCACACACACTCCCATCAAAAAGTATCAATGCAGCTTCTGGAAATCACACACACTCGCATCAAAAAGTATCAATGCAGCTTCTGGAAATCACGCACACTCCCATCAAAAAGTATCAATGCAGCTTCTGGAAATCACGCACACTCGCATCAAAAAGTATCAATGCAGCTTCTGGAAATCACACACACTCCCACCAAAAACATCAATGAAACTTTAGGAAAACACACACACTCTTATCAAGGTTGTCATCCTCCGTAAGAGAAATTGGACCCAAACCACTGACAACGTCTGATCATAGGAATCCCTATAGGAAATAGTTACTGGAATAAAAGTCATTTCAGAGAGTGCCTTCATATTAGCCATGAGGAATTAGGCCTCAATAAAGTGGTCAGGTATACAAGAGTACATACTATAAAACACTCCAAAACAAATCACATATTTCCTGACACAGATTTCCCTGAAGTAGATTATTAAAATGTTTTACTGAAAAATAAAATTACCAAAACCTGAGGATCTTTGAATTTATCACAATTCAACTAGTTTCAGAAAGAAAGTATGGAATATGTTTTCCTAGCCCTTAAAGATGTACTCTTTATCAAATGGCTACTGTGTAACTATCACTAGATACAAAGGGACTGCTCAATAATGGTCATCAATGTTGATATCATTGGTAAATGTAACAGGATTCAGTTCACAGTAATCCTAATGATTTCCCAGAGTTACTTCACTTCCCTTCAGACAGTATAGTAATAAGCTTGACAGCTGATGGGAGGCTGAGAATAACGGGACATGAAAGATATCAAAAAAAATTTTTATTTGTATAATTTGAAGTGTTTATATACTTCTCAATTAAGAAATATGCATTTTTTTTTACCTTGTTTGACATACACTAATTTTGTACTAAAAATAATTCCAATAACAAAAAACATTGAGTTGTTCAAAAATTTCCATGACAAATAAATGACTGGGTTTTTATTTCTAATGCCACTACTGAAATTCCTTTCAGCAAAATAATACTGATTCTAAAAAAAGGCTCACAAAAGCAATCTCAACCTACTTTTGATAAATTTGAACTGTTGTCTAAAGCACTTAAATATATCTATTATGACAAAGAAACTTCAACCAACACCTCATTGATATAGGAGACTAAGACCATCAGCCTTAAATTGTCTACTAGTCACTGAAATATACTTAAACTTCATCAATTTTCGTCAAGAGAATATGTGCATCACCAGTTGCTCTCTCTCCCTCTGGTCTATAAAGGACATTCATAAATTCAACATTTCAAATACTTTTGCAGCATATAGTAAGCTTTTTTTTTGGAAAATGCTGATTTATAAAATTGTTTAATGTTAGATACATTTATTAATGTTATTTTTTCTGTCAGAATGATGTTGGTTATGCATGTGTGAAAGGTCTTTTATAACAACTTGGAATTAAGATATGAGACATTAAACAAAATCTGATCCATAAGCTTTCAATATATACTATGTGAGTATCTATAGCATCCCAAAGCAATATCTATACTCTTCATTCATTAGGTGTTCAATCATCCTCAATACTCCAGGCGTTACTCCAGTCACTTTCACACTCTGCACCCCTGGTACATGTCATGGCAAAAGAGAGGGCACAAGCTTTGGTAATTTGATTGTTTCAAGGATAAAAAAACCTGACCAATCACATGCTGATATGACCCTTTTGAAAATTACAAAGGAGCCACACCTAACTTCAAAGCCATTACAATATATAACTATGCCAACTCGAGATTCATTTGATGTACATAAAAGGATCAAACTAGTCTTTTCGTCTTTTCCACAATTTTGCCATGACACATTTTAGGGGTGCAGAGAGTGATCCTAGCCCCTGGAGCATCAAGGATGGTGTTCTTCATAAAGTAAGACAAGTCGGCATGAAAACTGAAGTAGGTGCACAGAAAAGCAATGCTCAAAAATCCTCCTGGCAAGTTACCAGTACAATTATATCTACAACATCACAAAAATATAACATTTTAAATAAGTTTATGGTGTAAGACTTAACAAGAGGCCCAGAGGGCCTGTATCGCTCACCTGGGTCTTTATGACCAACAGTACTATGTCTGTGCATATGTTCAACAGTAGATTCTTAAAGCAATATGACAAATTACTCCATATGGGTTCTGTCCCGTAGTAGTCAGCCCCCTCATCTTTGCAATGTTGAATTGAGACTTTCTAATGATTTTCCAGTTAAATATAATTGATAGCTTTCTTTTAAATCAAGGAAAGAAGATGGTCAAACAATATAGCAGAAAAACTCTTAGTTATAGCTGGACGGATGACCCAGAACAGTAGACGTTTACTTACCCTTTAGATCATTGCTTACAAACACAGATACAACATATCTGAGACTTGCACAAGTCAACAATATATAGCAACAATTAAATATTTATACAGGAAAAATGAAGGTACATGTAATTATAAACCATAATCCTAACTCAAAACCAATAGTAAAATGTTTCATGCATTAGTGATGTCACCATGGTCAGTTAAGCCCCGGTTACTGGAGATATACTGATAACAGTTTACTGTAAGCCTATAAACAATGTATAGCAAATGGGATCAACTACAAACTTCTTATTTATTTATGTTATAATTATGGAGAATCTTAAATCAAAACGAAGGTCTTGCAATTCTCTTCCCGATAATGTTTTCTGTATTTTAATGCTGTGAATAGAACATAAGTAATTGGCTAACATGTAGTTTTTTCACATTACTTAGCTCAAGCCTCTTAGATCTCCAGGGGGGCTTGGCCTAATCTATTTTTTGGAACAGTGTGACATCATTGTGAAAGGTCTTTATAATTTATTAAAAATTATGCCAAGAAAAGTCCAAGCCAAATATATTCCTTTAATAAGTCATTGGAAGGTTCTACATATTTGTATATAAGCCTTTGTGAAACTTTAACTGGCCACAATAAGATAGCCTTTGGTCAATCAGAAGTTGTTAATGATTTTACCAAATTTAACCCCAGTGACCTAAAATATTTGTATGGGTCAAGCTATTTTTTCATACACTATGTGGGCACTATAAAGGGAACCTTTTGGCTAAATATTATGATTTTAGGCCTTTTGGTCAAGCAGAAGTTGTTCAAAGGTTAATG